CAGTCATAGAGTTGTCAGGAAGTGGAATAGCCTAGCAAGTGAAGTAGTGGAGGCAGGAACCATACATAGTTTTAAGAAGAGGTATGATACAGCTCAGGAAGCAGAGAGAGGACCTAGTAGCGATCAGTGAAGAGGCGGGGCCAGGAGCTGAGTATCGACCCGTGCAACCACAATTAGGTGAGTACACACACACACATTATATATATATATATATATATATATATATATATATATATATATATATATATATATATATATATAATATATATATCCATCACAGTGTCAGGCGACAGGGAGTAGCTGCTGACCACAGGAGGAGTACAAGATCAGCAAGTAAAGGGACATAAGCCAGCAGTATCAATTTGTCCCAGTGGGATCAGAGACCTTGGGATCATGGGGAAAAAATGCCACACGTTTCCTTAAACAATTGGGTTCCAGATTCATCGACACCACCAGGGACCCAAGGGCAGCCACTTTCATGTCCCAGCGCCTCAGCGTGGCCATCCAGAGGGAAAATGCTGGCTGCATACTAGGCTCGCGTCCGGCTTCGGAGGAGCTGGAGGAGATTTACAGTCTTTGATATGTTGTACCAATGTATTCATGCTTGTGTTTTCTATCAATGTATTCTGTCTATTAATAAAGTACACATATAATATAAATTATAGGGGGGGGGGGTTGGAGAAGAAAATATTCAAACAGCCCCGAGGAGAACCTTGAGTATTCCCTGAGGTACGTTTATTGTCTTCTCTGAGGATGAGGATCCCCAGTAAAGTTCTAGGGTGGTACCTCCCTATATTTATATATATTATATATATATATATATATATAATATATATATATATATATAATATATATATATATATATATATATAATATATATATATATGTATATATATATGTATAATATATATATATATATATATATATATATATATATATATATATATTATATATATATATATATAATTTTTTATTAATACATCGACCGTCTCCCACCAAGGCAGGGTGGCCTGAAAAAGAAAAAAAATCATCATTCACTCCATCGCTGTCTTGCCAGACGCGTGCTTACACTACAGTTATAAAACTGTAACATTAACACTCCATCTTCAGAGTGTAGACACTGTACTTCCCATCTCCAGGACTCAAGTTCGGCCTGCCGGTTTCCCTGAATCCCTTCATGTTAACTTGCTCACACTCCAACAGAACGTCAAGTCCTAAAAACCATTTGTCTCCATTCGCTCCTATATAAAATACTCACGCATGCTAGCACACAAAAAGTCCTTTACCCCCTCCCTCCAACCTTTTAATAGGGCGACCCCTACCCCGCCTTCCTTCCACTACAGATTTATACACTTTCGAAGTCATTCTATTTCGTTCCAGCTTCTCTACATATCCGAACCACCTCAACAACCCCTCCTCAGTCCTCTGGATAATAGTTTCGGTAATCCCGCACCTCCTCCTAATTTCCAAACTACGAATTCTCTGCATTATATTCACACCACACATTGCTCTCAGACATGACATCTTCAGTGCCTTCAGCCTTTTCTTTATTTCAACATTCACTACCTATGTTTCACACCCACATAAGAGCATTGGTACAACTATACTCTCATACATTCCCCTCTTTGCGTCCATGGACAAAGTTCTTTGTCTCCACAGACTCCTAAGTGCACCACTCACCATTTTCCCATCACCATTTCTGTGATTCACCCCATCTTTCATAGACCCATCTGCTGACACGTCCACTCCTAAATATCTGAATACACTCACCTCCTCCATAATCTCTCCTTCCAATTTGATATTCAGTCTTTCATCACATTTCTCTTTCCTATATTCACTTTCAATTTTCTTCTTTAACATACCCTACCAAACTTATCTACCAACCTCTGCAACTTATCTTCAGTATCTACCAAAATCACAGTGTCATCAGTAAAGAGCAACTGTCATAACCCCCACTTTCTTAGATTCTTTATCTTTTAACCCCACACCTCTTGCCAACACCCGAGCATTCAGTTCCCTTACAACCCCATCTATAAATATATTGAACAACCATGGTGACATCACACATCCTTGTCTAAGGCCTACTTTTACTGAGAAATAATCTTCTCTCATACATACTCTAACCTGAGCCTCACTATCCTCGTAAAAACTCTTCATACATTTGCAACATCTGCCACATTGCTGCTGACTTAATCCCATTTATTTCTCCCCACTGAAACTCACCTACCCCCTTCAACTTATATATATATATATATATATATATATATATATATATATATATATATATAATATATATATATATATATATATATATATATATATATATACACAAAGTAAGATCACAGTAAACAGGTAATACAGTGGAACCTCAAATATCGAACTTAATCCGTTCCAGGAGTTAGTTCTGAATTTGAAAAGTCTGAAAAGCGAAGCAACATTTCTCATAAGAAATAATGGAAATACAATTAATCCGTTCCAGAAACCCAAAAATATTCCCCCCAAAAAATGCATTTTATAGAGACTAATTATAGTTTTACATACACACAACAAATATAGTGTTCAATTATGTATTAATAAATTTAAATAAACATATCAACATTTTACTTACCTTTATTGAAGACTGGTGATGGCATCTGGAAGATAGCGAGGAGGAGAAAGGGAGTTGGGGTTAGTGTTTGAAAGGGAAATCCCCCTCGATAAGGACCTTAGGCATCAAAGCCCTCTCTAGGGTTACCTCCCTTCTGTCTTTTAATGCCACTAGGACCAGCTTGAGAGTCACTGGACCCCTGTCTCACAAAATAACTGTCCAGAGTCCTCTGTTTCTGGTGCCACTTTAAGATTTCCCTAAAATGGGACATGGTTCTGTCACTGAACTTGTTGCAAAGATGGCTTGTTTCAGCTTGCTCAGGGTGGTACTTCTGCACAAACATTTGGACATCATGCTACTTGGACATCATTCCACTTCTGTATTATTTCCTTCTTCACATCTATGGTGTTTCTCACTTTCTTTACCACAGGGTTACCACTAGCAAGTTTCTTTGAGCCCATTATAGCTTATTTCACAGTCCCACAAGCACTAAACACAATGAAATAATCGTAAAATGTTTGAATGAGAGCGCAAGTTAGTGTTCACTCAAGCATCAACAAAACCAGACTGGCTCACGGTGCCTGCATGGGGACGCGGGTACCGGAGAGGTCCGCTACCCTGTGGTTAGAAAATAGGGGCGAGTTCGATAATAGGGACAAAGTAGGTTCGAAAAAAGGGTTCTATTTTCGAAGAGTTCGATAAGTGATACGTTCGAAATTTGAGGTTCCACTGTGTATATATATATATATAAATATAGTATATTATATATATATATATATATAATATATATGCTAGGAATTCGCAAGAACAGGCGAAATATTCACAAACACTGATCTCTGGCTGAGACTCGAACCTACGAACCTTGGAAAAAGGTACGCAGTGCTTTACCAACCTAGCTACACTGGTCCAATACCTTGGCGTCTAGCGTGAGCTAGACGTTGATCCAAGGCAGCCAGCTTTCAAGCAGAAGGCTTACAGCTTTTCATCTCATCCCCTGCATGTATCAGCCTTACTAGAGATTTTTAACGATGCTAGGAATTCGCAAGAACAGGCGAAATATTCACAAACACTGATCTCTGGCTGAAGGAAACTCGAACCTACGAACCTTGGAACAAGGTACGCAGTGCTTTACCAACCTAGCTATTTTGCCTGTTCTTGCGAATTCTTAGCATTGTGAAAAATCTCTAGTAAGGCTGATGCAGCGGTAAGCCTCCTGCTTGAAAGCTGGCTGCCTTGGATCAACGTCTAGCTCACGCTAGACGCCAAGGTATTGACCAGTGTAGCTAAGTTGGTAAAGCACTGCATACCTTGTTCCAAGGTTCGTAGGTTCGAGTCTCCTTCAGCCAGAGATCAGTGTTTGTGAATATATATATATATATATATATATATTTTATATTATATATATATATTTATATATATATATATATATATATGAATGAGAGTGTTGCTGATCTAACTGATATTGGTTTAATCAGTTCATCATTAAAGCTAAGTCAAGTTTTAAGCTGTTTATTGAACCTTCTGTTAACTTGGTCGAGAAAGTTCATATGAAGGGAACGTATGTTTGTCTAGCTCTTTTTGTTATGTTAATCTCCAGGGTTTATTACCTGGACCTCAGCAATGAGAGTGGCTACTCTCACCGCTGGGCAACGGCGACCCACTACCGTCTACCGTGTCCAAAATAGCAACCACATTCGACTGGTCTGTCTTCGTAAGGTAACTTCCATTTCAATTTCCTTATTGCGAATTCTTGATGAAGCAAAAGGTACCTCGTGCACGTCATCTTCTTCCCTTCTGCTTCACAAGATTAATTTACACATGTATACATATGGACATTGAAAGAGAGAGAGAGAGAGGAGAGAGGAGAGAGAAGAGAGGGGAGAGAGAGAGAGGGGGAGAGAGGAGAGAGATGAGAGAGAGAGAGAGAGAGAGTGAGAGAAAGAGAGAAAGGAGAAAAAGAGAGAGAGAGAGAGAGAGACAGGAGACAGACAGAACAGACAAAGAGACAGACAGAGGAACAGACAGATAGACAGACAGATAGACAGACAGACAGAGACAGACAGGCAGACAGAGGCAGAGAGAAAAGAGAAGAGAGAGAGAGAGAGAGAGAGAGAGAGAGAGAGAGAGAGAGAGAGAGAGAGAAGAGACAGAGACAGAGAGAGACAGACACATAGACAGACAGACAGAGAGAAAGAGAGGGAGAGAGAGGGAAAGATAGACAGAGAAAGAGAGACAGACAGACACATAGACAGAGAAAAGAAAAGAGAGAGAGAGAGAGACAGACAGACAGACAGACAGACAGACACAGACAGACAAAGACACAGAGACAGTCTGACAGACAGATGGACAGACAGAGATATAGGCAGAAAGACGTACACTGATACACAGACGGAAAAGAAAGACTAAGACTCACCTGAACAAGCTCATCCTTGTCGAGAGCACCGTTGTTGTTGGTGTCGAACTTGGAAAACATGAGACCCACTAGGTACTCCCGCTCTGAGCCTCGACCCTTCTCTGCCATGAGTCTCGCGTGGTGATATAGCAACAGGTTGTCCTGTATCAGGAAAGAGAAAGAAAAAGCGGGAGTCATTCTCTGATCACCACTCTGTCCCAGGGTAATACTTGTATCTCTTGGACTACCTCATTTACTGGAGACAATCGGGAAAACTTCCTATTTTGGTTTAAATAGCAACGTCATCTTGCCGAATACGGCAAGCGATAATTTGTGTATGTAATAATTTCGCAAAAATCAATCTGAATCTAACGAAAAAATATATTTCATTGCGTTTATTATTAAATTATTGTAAACTTCTCTAAAATATATTTAGTTGGATTAGGCTAAATTAAATCGCGCTTTTTATAAGTTTTCTAAGGTTCTTAAGGTACAAAATCATTAATTTTTACATTAACATAAATGAAAAAAATATATATCTTGAAACGTATAACAGAAAATTTTAGAAAGGACTTAATTTTAAATGAATTCTTGATAATTGACCAATTTTACCTATTCGGCACGGCATAAATAAAACTGCGACTAGCCGGGAATCGAACTCCCGATATTTTAGCACGCCTCCCGAGCCTGATAAAACTCCGACAGGATCGGAAGGCGTGCCAAACTATCGAGGGTTCCAAGAGGATCAACTATAAAGGGATCATTTAATATGCTTTATATTGCTGGCGACTCGTTGCACGTTTTTCCTGACATCTTATCTTACCTCGCACACAGTCACCTTGCCGTCAGTTAATCTGGAATAACTGTAATACTTGTAACCTTATCGGGATGGTGAAGAGACTTGAACACTACAAGTCGAAACAAACTATCATATGTATCACAGTACCATGAGGAACCCACATTCTGAAATCACTTAGCATGCTACCTGCTGCAATCAGGGAACAAGAGCTATACTTCATCACCCACACACACAAACACACACACACACACACACACACACACACACACAAACACACACACACACACACACACACACACACACACACACACACACACACACAACAAACACACACACACAACTAGTGAGTACACACACACACACACACAAACACACACACACAACTAGGTGAGTACACACACACACAACTAGGTGAGTGCACACACACACAAACACACAAACACACACACACAACTAGGTGAGTACACGCACACACAAACACACAAACACACACACACACACACACACACACACACACACACATACACACACACACACGCACACACACACACACACACACACACACACACATACGTGGTTCTGAGTTTTGATTATATAGTAGAGTTACAAGTGGAGAAGTTAACAGGAATTCAATGGGAAAAGCCAAACTATAAAAGGGGGGACTACACAGGTATGAGGAACTTCCTGCAGGAGGTTCACTGGGACAGAGAACTGGTAGGAAAATCAGTAAACGAGATGACGGAATATGTAACAACAAAGTGCAAGGAGGCAGAGGAAAGGTTTGTTCCCAAGGGAAATAGAAATAATAGGAAGACCAAAGGGAGTCCTTGGTTAACCCGAAGGTGTAGGGAGGCAAAAACTAAGTGCACCATAGAATGGAAAAGATACAGGAGGCAAAGGACCCAGGAAAATAAGGAGATTAGTAGAAGAGCCAGAAACGAGTATGCACAGATAAGGAGGGAGGCCCAGCGACAGTACGAAAACGACATAGCATCGAAAGTCAAGTCTGACCCGAAACTGCTGTATAGCCACATTAGAAGGAAGACAACAGTCAAAGACCAGGTGATAAGGCTGAGGAAAGAAGGTGGAGAACTCACAAGAAACGATCAAGAGGTATGTGAGGAGCTCAACATGAGATTTAAGGAAGTATTTACAGTGGAGACAGGAAGGCCTCTGGGGGGACAGTCCAGATGGGGACACCAGTAAGGAATATACCAACAAGTGTTGGATGACATAAATACAAATGAGGAGGTGGTGAAGAAGCTGCTAAGGGACATCGATACCTCAAAGGCAATGGGACCAGACAACATCTCCCCGTGGGTCCTTAGAGAGGGAGCGGATATGCTGTGTGTGCCACTTACCACAATCTTCAACACATCCCTGGAAACTGGGCAACTATCTGAGGTATGGAAGACGGCAAATGTAGTTCCCATTTTTAAAAAAGGAGACAGAAAAGAGGCACTAAACTATAGACCTGTGTCACTTACGTGTATAGTATGCAAAGTTATGGAGATTATCAGGAGGAGAGGGGTGTAGCACCTGGAACGGAACACGAGTATAAACGCCAACCAGCACGGATTCCTGGAAGGCAAATCCTGTGTCACAAACCTTCTGGAGTTTTACGATGAAGTAGCAGAAGTATGACACGAGAGAGAGTAGTGGGTTGATTGCATTTTCTTGGACTTCAAGAAGGCCTATGTCACAGTTCCTCACAAGAGATTAGTGCAAAACCTAGAGGATTAGGCGCATATAACAGGAAGGGCACTGCAATGGATCAGAGAATACCTGACAGGGAGGCAACAACGAGTCATGGTATGTAATGAAGTATCACAGTTGGCACCTGTGACGAGCGGGGTCCCACAGGAGTTGGTCCTAGGACCCGTGCTATTTTTGGTATATATAAACGACATGATGGAAGGGTTAGACTCAGAAGTGTCCCTGTTCGCAGACGATGTGAAGTTAATGAGGAACAATAAATCAGATGAGGATCAGGCAGGACTTCAAAGAGACTTGGACAGACTGGACACCTGGTCCAGCAACTGGCTTCTCGAATTTAACCCCTCCAAATGCAAAGTCATGAAGATAGGGAAAGGGCACAGAAGACCGCAGACGGAATATAGGCTAGGTGGCCAAAGACTGCAAACCTCGCTCAAGGAGAAAGATCTTGGGGTGAGTATAACACCGAGCATCAACCAGATAACTGCTGCAGCATATTGGCGCCTGGCAAACCTGAGAACAGCGTTCCGATACCTTAGTAAGGAATCGTTCAAGACACTGTACACCATGTACGTCAGACCCATACTGGAGTATGCAGCACCTGTTTGGAACCCGCACTTGATCAAGCACGTAAAGAAATTAGAGAAAGTGCAAAGGCTTGCGACAAGGTTAGTTCCAGAGCTAAGGGGAATGTCCTATGAAGAAAGGTTAAGGGAAATCTGCCTGATAACACTGGAGGACAGGAGGGTCAGGGGAGACATGATAACGACATATAAAATACTGCGTGGAATAGACAAGGATGTTCCAGGGAGGGGACACAGAAACAAGAGGTCACAATTGGAAGTTGAAGACTCAGATGAGTCAAAGGGATGTTAGGTAGTATTTCTTCAGTCATAGAGTTGTCAGGCAGTGGAATAGCCTAGAAAGTGACATAGTGGAGGCAGGAACCAAACAATTTTAAGACGAGGTTTGATAAAGCTCATGGAGGAGGGAGAGAGAGGACCCAGTAGCAACCAGTGAAGAGGCGGGGCCAGGAGCTAAGACTCAACCCCTGCAACCACAAATAGGCGAGTACAAATAGGTGAGTACACACAATGGAATGAGGAGAGGGAGAAGCCAGTGTTTATTCATGGGCTTCAGGAGAGTGAGGGGGAGGACACACAATGAAAGAGGCAGAAAGAAAAATCGGAGATTGAAAACATCATCAAATAGGCGAGGAAGACATGACTGAGATACTAAATTGTCAGAGAATAGGGGGGTACTTGAAAGAGAAAGCAGCCGGTCAAGCTGATTTTCAGGACATAAACGGTCCAAAACAGGATCCTGCAAAAGAAACCACTGCTGAAGGAATCGCCAACATACAGGAGGGTGCTCCTAGACCGAGACAGAACAAGACCAGAACGACAGCAGCTGAGGGAGAGGACACAAAAGCGAAAGGTGCTAGGAAGAGACACAAGAACAGAATCAGCAGAGGACAACCAAAGAAGGGCAGAGCAACAAATACAAGCACACACAGAACCACCCCCAGGACCCCACAACCAAGAATGCTATCCCAACACAAACCACAATCCACACTTACAGCCCTCAACCCACACTATGCTGTAGAATCCCACAGTACACTGCCTGGCCCCCCACCCTCACATACCCCCCCCCCCCAGTACACAGTGCTGGATAGGAAACTGAAGGTATGGTACACCAACACTGATGGAATAACGAATAAGTGGGAGAAGTGGCACGAAAGAGTCAAAGAGGCATCACCGGACATCACAGCTCTCACAGAAACAAAGCTCACAGGAATGATAACAGATGCCATCTTTCCAACGGGATATTAGATTCTGAGGAAAGACAGAGGAAACAGAGGGGGTGGAGAAGTGGCACTGCTTATCAAAAACCGACGATATTTTAATGAGCTGGAGGCGGCAGAGGAGAAGCAAGACACTACATAATAGGAACACTTCAGTCTGGAAGTACCAAGGTGGTAATTGCAGTGATGCATAACCCACCACAGAACAAATTGAGGCCAAGGCAAGAGTATGATGAGAGTAATAGAGCGATGATTGACACACTGGCTGAAGTGGCCAGAATGTTTCATGGTAGCAGGGCAGAGCTGCTGATTATGGATGACTTCAACTACAAGGAAATCGACTGAGAGAACCTGGAGCAACATGGGGGTCCAGAAACGGGTAGGGCTGAGGTGATGGAGGTGGTACTGGAAAACCTCATTTACCAACACGTAAAGGACACTACTAGATAGAGAGGACAGGATGAACCAGCAAGACTAGACCCAGTATTCACTTTGAGTAATGCAGATATTGAGGACATTACATATGAAAGACCTCTCAGAGCCAGTGATCACGTGCTTCTGAACTTCGAATACATAGTAGAGTTACAGGTGGAGAGGGAAGCAGGAAGGCCAGCACGAATGAAGCCAAACTACAAAAGAGGGGGCTATACAGGCATCAAGAATTTTCTGCACGGGGTTCAGTGGGACACAGAACTGGCAGTGAAGTCAGTAAACGAGATGATGGAATATGTGACAACAATATGCAAGGAAGCTGAGGAGACGTTTTTACCCAAAGGTAACAGAAATAAAGAGAAAGCGAGGATGAGCCTTTGGTTCACCCAAAGGTGAAGAGAGGCCAAAACC